GCTTTGTTTTCTTATAAAAATTGACATTTAGAGATAAAGCAGCTCATATTGAAATGTTTTCCGCACCTGAGAAAAAAACAGCTTCTCTCTTGTTAAAAGTGGGATGAAGGTCATTGAACTATCCATGAACATGAGCAAGATAGAAGCAGCAAGAGTTATTTAATCTTCAATTCTGGCCCAGTTCAGGCCTGTTTTCCAGTGAACCAGGTGGAAGTCTCCTTCCCAAGGGAGCATAGCATGCATTCCATTTGATTTTGAACATTTTTTAAGACTGAATAAAAATTAGAGAAGAGAGTAAGCTTCTGGGTTAATTGGTCATTCCTTGCTCTTTCTTTCTGTTTCTCTTTGATCTTTTTCAAATAGAAGTTTTCTAGTCTTCCTTAAATATGCTTTAATACAGTAAGGAAATTATATTTGAGCCTGCAAAATAGTATAGAAATAAGTTAAGGTGCTTGCTTTGATCAACATTGACCGGTGCAATTCCTGGCACTACTTATAGAACCCTGAGCACTCCCCGAGTGATTCCTGGCCACAGAGCCAGTAGTAAGCCCTGAGCTCAGGAAGGCTGGATGTGGCCTAATCCTAGAACTCCCCGCCCCCAAATAAGAGGAAAGGAGAAATGGGGATTAATATATAAGGAAGGGGGGGGGAGTGGGAGGAATTGATAGATTCAATTGCTCCATTCCCTACCCACACTTTTTTTTTTAAGCTTTTTGGGTCACACCTGGTGATGCACAGGAGTTACTCCTGGCTCTATTCTCAGGACTTACTCCTGGCGGTGCTCAGGGGACCATATGGGATGCTGGGAATTAAACCCAGGTTGGCCGCGTGCAGGGCAAAGCCCTATCTGCTGTGCTACTGCTCCAGCTCCCCTACCCACATTTTTAAATTGGAAGGACTGAAGGAAAGAAAGGCGGAGAGTGGAGGGTGAAAGAGCGATTGTTCCTGCAGAGAAAAAAAATCATTCACAGGCCCACTGACACACTCAGCCCTCCAAAGCACACTTGCCTGAATTTGCACACAATAAGGAGTGGTACTGTTACTGTGTTTGGCATACTGGGCCCGCTCAAGCAAGGAGTGGTAGAAAAGTGGTAGTTGAAGCACTTCTAGTTGATAATTGTCTCTTAAATTTATAGGGTTTTATCCTGCTGTTTCCTCTGTCTTTCAGTTGATCCTTCTTTAGTCTCCCTCTTCAGATGCAAATTAAAATACCTTCTTGAGCTTCTGATACTCAGGTCTTCATTTACTCTCTAGTCTTCTGCAATGAGTAAGAATGAACAACGCACAGGAGTGGAAAAGAGTTGTACTTAAGCAGTAGTGACCAGAGAAATCAGCTTGTAAACCCGTAAGTCTACCAGTGCTCAATTCACCTCACACTTAGGAAGCTTTTCCCTCACCTCTACCAAAAAATTCAGAATTGGGCATAGGTTCCTTGGGATCAGCATCTCAAAGCCAACAACCATCCAAAAAGAGTATATAGATATTTTTTTCTTTCATTATACTTCCATTCATTTTTATCCTTTTTTTTTTCTGTTTTAGTTTAGTTTAGTTTGGGCTGGAATGATAGCACAGTGGGTAGGGTGTTTTCTTTGCCCGTGGCCCAGCTGGGTTCAATTCCTTCACCCCTCTCGGAGAGCCCAGCAAGCTACCTAGAGTATCTCGCCCTCAAGGCAAAGCCTGGAAAGCTCCCTGTGAGGTATTCGATATGCCAAACACAGTAACAATAAGTCTCACATGAAGACATTACTGGGCCCGCTGGAGCAAAGTCGATGAACAAAAGGAGGACAGTGCAATGCAGTTTGTCTTCTTATTTGCTTATCCCCAAAGTATCATAGCTCAGTATTTCAACATTGTTTGTTTTTACCTGTTTTTGCAAACTTCCTGAAGATTTTGTTTGCTTTGGCACTTCCTTCTGCTCTTGGTTTGGAGTCTGTATCAAATTGAGATTGTTGGCGCTATAGGATTTACCTTAATTCTGACTGTGATAATGAATGTTCCCCTTCCTTGCAAAGGGAAGGTGACTTGAATCAGGGAAAGCTTTGCTTTCCTTCTGAGTGGCTGCTTGAGTGGGGATTTAATAAATACTACAAAAGGACTGTTCAAAATGGGAATGTCCTGCCACAGAGGCAGGGTGGGATGGGGGGATGGGGGTGGGAGGGATGCTGGGACCCGTGGTGGTGGAGGATGGGTGCTGGTGGAGGGATGGGTACTTGATCATTGTATAACTGAAACCCAAGCACAAAAATTTGTAAGTCTATAACTGTACCTCGTGGTGTTTCATTAATAATATATATATATATACATATATATATGGACTGTTCAGTAAAAAGATTTTGCATTCAATAAAGATAAAAAGATGGAGCCAATGTGGATTGTTTTGCCCATCTTCTTCAAAGAACTTGGTGTTTCCCTGCCAGATTATTTACCAATCATCTCAGAAATAGCTTTATATACCATGCAAGGAAAACCATCATAGAATATGTGTTTCTTTTGTAACAAATGGACTTACCTGTTCTGAAATTGAAATTTTTCTTTTACAAAAGTCAGTGAAGCATGAATACCTAATTTATCTCTTTGAAAGAGTTCAGGTGACTTATTAACAAACACAAGTGTTATTGTAAAATGATCCATTTCCTTTTTTGTCATCATACTATTGAGGTTGATTTTTTTAATCTTAAACATAGCCTTATAGAGTTATATGAAAATACATTAATATTCACATTATAAAATGAAATTTTCATAGTATCTTGAAATGACAAAGATTTAAATTAAATTTGCTTTTCTAATAATATACCTTACTTTCCACTGTTATTTTTTATGTCCCAAAGAATCCTGACAACTTGGCTTGTTTTAAGACTTTTCCCTTGAGTCTTTCCCCCGACCATTGAGCTGGACTATATCCAAGCTTAAGCATTCCTTGAATCTGGGTTTTTAATTCACTTATTTTCCTTATTTATGTTCGACTGGTATATTCAGTCTCCATCTACCAAGCATAATATTTCTTTTGCAATCATTTCATTTGCCAAGGGGTTGTTAAAGTCTCATTGGAACTTCAGCTGGTCACCAGCCTGACCCAGAAGTATTCTGTGATCACTAAAATTTTTATATTCCATTTGGTTCACAAACCTTCTGGACTTTTTTTTTCTTTTTGTGTCACACCTGGTTATGCACAGGGGTCACTCCTGGCTCTGCACTCAGGAATTACCCCTGGCAGTTCTCAGGGGACCATATGGGATGCTGGGAATCGAACCCGGGTTGGCCACGTGTAAGGCAAACTCCCTACCTGCTATGCTATTGCTCCAGCCCTGAACATGTTCTTTTTTAACAAAAATATGTGCTTTGTCCCTTTTGACTGCTTAATAGCTCTTTGTGTGTGTATGAGGGGCGGCACACTCAGTTATATTCAGAGTTTACTGACTCTGCTCAGGGATCACTCCTTGTAGAACTCAAGGGACTGTATTGGGGGTGGGGGGCTGTTGATTGAATGCAGGTCAGCTGCACGCAAGGCAAACAGCCTTCCCACTATACTGATGCTCTGGCCCTTTATACAATTTAAATAAAGACAGCTAGACAGAAAAATTTACATGAAGTATGGAAGTAATAGCTTAGTAAAGCTGCCTTCATCTTAATAGGAAGTATAATGAACTTCAGTTCGTTTTGCATAATTTAAGAAGTGTTGAGGCTAGGTAGATATTGCTAATATAAATGAAATTCCGTGGTGGGATTTAATCACGGAGAATATGTGTTTCTTTTGTAACAAATGTATTAAAGCACCACGATTTACAAAGCTATTCTAGACATACACCATTGCAGCACTGATTCCAACACCAGTGTCAGCCTCAGTGTCAACCCATGTTCCCGGGTTCTCTTCACACTCCCTCCCTCTAGCCTGCCCTCCTGACAGCCATACTAAGTGAGAATAGACATTGCTCTCAAAATTTATGTGCGGCAAAACTTGATTATGTTTATGAACTGCCTCATTCCATAGACACATGGCACAATTATCTAAGCAGTTAAAGGAAAAAGGACATGCTCAGATATGTAGGGTAGTGAGATCCAGTTTAGTTGGAGATCTGTGTAACTTGCTTTCAAAGGATCTGCTCTGTCTGTAGATTATTTTACCCTCCTCAGCTTCTCATTTTTCTGTTTCTGACCCTTAGCATTTAACTTGACTTAGTGTCTTTCTATATCTTTTGTCTTCCTGATGGAATCTTTCTTCCTACCTCTGGAATTGTAGCAGAGTCTGGTATGTAATCCCATTTTTGTCTCTTTTTTATCTGAAAAAATTAAACCTTATTTCAGACACTCTACAACAATCCCCCCCTCCACCCTGCCATATGCTATTAAGTATTTAGGAATTCTTGCTAAAATGTAATTCTTGAAATCTTACTATCTTATTGTTGACATGTTTCTGAACATGCTGAAATTCCCAGCTATAAAAGACACCCTGTATTAAAGATGCTAAAATTTCCAGCTAAGAAAAAACCCTGTGTTAAAGATGAACTGCCAAGCAGATTTAGCCATGATGAAGTATCTACGACATGGTATTTGTCTTCAGTTACATACTTTAAGACCACAATAAATTAATCACATTTTCTCAGAATTTTTCTTCATGACTTAAAACTTTTTTTCTCCTAATTAAATTCAGCATTTATCTTGGGGGCAATGAAATAAAAAAAAACCCTCTGGAATTTGTATAACCAAGTTTATGTTAAAGGAAAATTTTTTCATTCTAGAGTTTTTCTGCACTAGTTCAGGGTTTGAAAAGACATTAAAATTAAAAAGTCACCAAATCTACCCATTAAACCAAATCACTGTTTTCTTATTTAAAAACAATAGTAGAGAATTTAGCAACAGAATTAGAGATTTCTTTTTCTTATCCTGACTTGTATAAAACTCTCTCTCCTAGATAAAAACCCCTCAAAAGTTGGAACTCACACTTGGTTTGAAAAACATCGAGTGGATCACACTTCTAAATATAGCTCTATTTTTAATTTCAGAATTGACTCCTGAGGAGAGAGCCCAAAAGATTGCCAAAACCATGCGCAAACAGTCTTCTGAAGTCAAAGAGAAATGGGAAAGTCTCAATGCAGTGACGAACAGTTGGCAAAAGCAAGTGGACAAGGCGTTGGAGAAGCTCAGAGACCTACAGGGAGCCATGGATGACCTGGACGCTGACTTGAAGGAGGCCGAGGCTGTGAGGAATGGATGGAAGCCCGTGGGAGATTTGCTCATTGACTCACTGCAGGATCACATCGAGAAAACCATGGTCAGCATCACTGCCATCGATTTGGTGCTTGAGGAAAGGATTTGTGTGGGCATGGGGAGGGAACTAACTCAGGAGTCAGGCTATTTCTGTGCATACAATGGGATATGAATTTGATACCCAGCACCACATACCTTGGCCACCAGATCCCTGATTGAGCCAGATCTTGTGACCTGGTGGCCCCTAGTGGTCCCACACGGTAGTGCATCAGTTGGGCCCAAGTTCTGAACCTTCCAGGGGTAGGTATGGAGCAGTTTGGAAGATCCTCCCTAACACACACACACACACACACACACACACGCACGCACGCACGCACGCAGGCATGCACACACACATGTTTTATAGTTAAATTAACCCAGATAGAGAAAGCCACATGTATAAGTTACAAGTTGGGAATGTTATAATATCCTTCATACTCTCATCAATTTGGACTGGAGCGATAGCACAGCAGTACGGCGTTTGCATTGTGTGTAGCCCGCTGGCCAAGCCAGGTTCCATGCCTCTGAGATTCCTCCGCCCCTCTAGGAGAGCCCGGCAAACTACTGAGAGTATCTCGCTCACACGGCAAAGCCTGGCAAGCTCCCCGTGACGTATTCGATATGCCAAACCCCATAACAATGAGTCTCACAATGGAGACGTTACTGGGCCCGCTCAAGCAAATCGATGAACAACGGGAAGACCGTGACCGTGACTTAGAATTCCCCATCCTCACCCCCAAATTACCATGGATGTGACTTTTATATTTGTCACTTTTATTTTGCTTCATATCTTTTACACCCAACTGTGATCCCTGAAAATTAGAGATATTTTGTAAGTACTATCATGAAGTGTCTTTTAATCTCCAGGCTTTCCTTCTTTCCTGTCTTCCCATTTTTTGTTTTGCTTTGTTTGTGTTCTGTTTGTGGAAGATACAGAATTGTCTAATAGTGTTTTTTACAACCTGGATTGAACCGCACCCACTGGTTGCAATCTGTGATTTCTCCCTACTCTAGATGTTCTATATATTAGTAGTTACATTTAGAAGATTAATCTAAAGCACACTGATCTATGTGGAAATGGTATATACAGATCTTTATTGTCTGAGCAGAGTATTGCAGGATTAGGTAAGATATACAATGTACCTATAGTCAGAAATAGCCCTGTATCAAAATCAGTAACTCCTTTTGGCTCTCATGGTCTAGAACACATCCAAAAAACATGAAATACAGGTAATGAAAGATATAAATAACAATATTCATGTATAATATGATCTATAGTCACACAGTAAAGTATATACTACGTGAGTCACATCCAAAAAAAATCAATAAAGAGTGATAAGATGTTACACTAACAATATCTATCATAATATTTTACTTTTATTACTGTATTTTTTATGAGTTTTTTTTTTTTTTGGTTTTGGTGCTAAACCCAGCAGTGCTCAGGGACCATTTGATGGGGCTCAGGGTAACATAAGGTATGCCAGGGAATGAACTCAGGACTGTAACATGCAAGGCAAAGACCAGCTGTTACCTTTCTGGCCCCTATTTTATTTTTATTAAAAACTATATATGTCTTTGTGTGCAGACATTACGCTTATATGCTCAGGGTTGAATTGGAAGAGAATACTTGTGAAGTAATGAAATAGTTGAGCAAATTATGAGTTTAATATAGTCATAATATATGAGTTAATATAGTCATCAGAATATAAGTTGTATCAAGACATACAATTCTAAGAACTGTTTTTAGTCAGTTCACATGTTTCTTTTCATCTTTTTACCAATCCTAGAAAAGAGGTATTATTCTGCTCATTTTACCAGTGATAAAACTGCAGATATGACTCAAGCCCAAGCGGTCAGTGGTAGAATTGCTATTCTCTTGCTTTTCTTTTTATTTATTCACACACTAATGTAATTCAACACAGCTTTGCAGCAGAATCCAACACTTTGAAAAATAAGTATTATTTTAATGTAAATTTTATCTTTGGCATTGGTAATTACAATGCTGTTAATGGCCTGTTTTCCTGAATAATGCATTCTGACAACACAACCCCCCCACCCCCGCGCGCGCAGTGTGTCCATTTTCCTAAACTGTTTTCATTCCAGCATCCCTCTTTCTGTGCTATCTCCCTCTTCCTCTTTCTGTGGTTTGTTTCCTACAGGAAACTTGTCAGCAGTTTTTTGCTGCCTTTGGCATTAGTTTTCCCCCTACTATGTTTCTTTCTATCTCATATGTGTGAGAGAGAGATCATTCTGTGTCTGAAGTATTACACTTTGAAACAAAATGCTTAAGTAAAAAGTACTGATAACTGTCTGATTGCATTGGAAACAATCATCTTTCCAGCAATCCAGTGAATTAAATAGGCTTTGCTACAGCTTATACTCTTAAAACCATATCAGTGGAAGGATTTGAGTATGAAACAACCAATTAAAAATATAGCCTTTAAGTACGGACTCTTTAGAAGGTATATACTTCTTATATTTTAAAATATGGTTTTTAAGCACAAAAAATTTAAATGAGTGGTTTACACTTCTTTTTGTCCACAAAAAATGCCTTTTGGAACAAGAATTTATGCATATGAATTTGAAAATATTCATTTTCAACATAGGAATGGTTCCAGTTTGAGCACAGATGAAAACTTTATCTAGGGATTCTAAACGTTTAAAAGTTTAGAGTTGTTAATCCTGTTTGATTAAGGAAATTATGTACCTCCACATCCCAGTCTTTTCGTTTAAAATTTCTGTTTAAGAGGAACACTAAAAAAATACAATTATTAATTATGAGAAAAAAATAAACTGTGGACTAAAACACTTTAACGCCTTGTCAGGAAAAATGAAACAAGTCTCATTAAGCCAAATGAGGTGTATACAATGTGTGGACTATTTTGCATGTGCTTTGAAGTGCACACCAATCCTACTGAAGCCAGAGGTAAAGGAAAATAAGCACTGATTCTTGGTAAATATTATTAAATATGCCAGAACAACTGGAAACAAATCTTTGGAGTGATGAAATAATTTTAGCTCCCTAAAATTATCCTTAATCATTATTTACAGAGCACACACCTTCTGGCAGGAGATGGGTATCAGATTCACATCTGCCAACGGGCTGCCAATCATCACCATTAATACTAGCAGATGTTTCTGTTTTTAGGGCAAGGGAGACTACATAGACTTTTATTCTCCTATAGGAAGGCGCAGCCAAAACGTGATAAATTGGTTCTTTGTGCTTGAACACACGCAGGCATGACAGGCCTGAAATCATTTTAAAACGCCCCCCCCCCCCCCCAATCTTAAGCCCCTTCATTCAAACGCTCTTAAGAAACTTTCTTAATAGAAAGGTTGTTCATTGTCGGAAAACACCTGTCCGCCAAAAAACAACATCACCCGAAGAATCTTGTTTGTGAAAGATCTTTTCATATTTTCACCTGTGGCTTATAAGAGAGAAATAGTCTTTTTACAGAGGATAATTAAGGCTCTTTCACTGTATACAATTTCAAAATCTGCCATAAAGTTAGAGTTTATTTTTGGGGGACTGGGAGGGGACCTCCCACGCAGTGCTCAGGAGGCTTGGAGGTCCAATGGAGACACTGGATCAAGGCAAGGGCTAAACATTATGATGCTGCTTGGGTTCCATGCTGGTGTGGCTACCCAGACAGCCTCAGGGTCATACCATGCCCAGGGGACCGCGTGTTGTCAGGAATCAACCCAGGTGGGGTGTAGGCTAAGCATGTTCCCTAACTGCTATACCCCGTCTCTCTGGAAGTTAAAACATTTTGCTTTGTTTTGTGCTTGAACACAGGGCAGGCCTGAAATCATTTTAAGATGCCCCCTTTCCCAATTCTTAGGCCCTGTATTCAGACACTTTCGAGTTGTTTGTGTTGTCTTAGAAACCTTGACCTTTTCCACCCTCTTTTGAAGTAAAACTTGCCATTTCAAAATGATGTAAATCTGAGGACGTTTTCTAATGTTCTATTTTTTTTCTTTTAGTGTCTTTCAAATACAGAGATGTTGATTGTAAAAGCTGATTAAAATTCCGAAACCTCCAAGGTCCTCTGGGAGAAAATATTAATGTATAGTGTGAAATCACAACCAAAGACACTTTGAAAGGTTTCAATTCTACAATTATTTTTAATTTGTCTCCAAGGAGACCCAGGTCTTGTCAAAGTTCCGACTAAAAAAAAAAACTCTTTTTTCCCCACCCTAATTATCACTTCTCTGTGTTCCTTGCTTCTATTTTATTCATTTATTGTTACTGCTGGGCTGGAGCACAGCGGGTAGGGTGTTTGCCGTGCACACGGCCGACCCAAGCTCGATTCCTCCGTCCCTCTTAGAGATCCCGGCAAGCTACGGAGAGTATTCCACCCGCACAGGTAGAGCCTCAAGCCTCGAAAGCTCCCTGTGGCATATTTGATATGCCAAAAACAGTAACAAGTCTCACAATGGAGACGTTACTGGTGCCCATTGTAGCAAATTGTTCAACAACAGGAGGACAGAGCTACAGTGCTATTATTACTATTAAGGGGGGGGGGGGCTGTTGCTTAGAACTTACTCCTGCCTCTGTGCTCAGGGATTACTCCCAGCTGTTCTTAGGGTACCAGAGGGGTGCCAGAGATGGAACCTGCAAGGCAAACACCCTACTCATGGAACTTTCTCTTCAACCTTCTTCTGTTTTCTTCTTTCAAACTGTATCTTAAGAGACCCAGGTCTCTTAAAAGTCCGGATTGAAAAAAATTCTCCTTCCCCGCCCCAACTATCATTCTTTGTGTCCCTTGGATCTGTTTTATATTATATTATTATTATGGCTTGAATTAGCTCTGGGCTGGAGCGGTAGCACAGCGGTAGGGCATTTGCCTTGCACGCAGCCAGCCCGGCTGAGCCGGGTTCGATTCCTCCGCCCCTCTCGGAGAGCCTGGCAAGCTACTGAGAGTATCTCGCCCGCACGGCAGAGCCTGGCAAGCTACCCGTGATGTATTTGATATGCCAAACACAGTAACAACAAGTCTCATGATGGAGACGTTACTGGGCCCGCTCGAGCAAATCGAAGAACAACAGGAGGACGGTGTTTGATGGACGGTGAATTAGCTCTGGGGCCACACCCGGACAGCACTGGTGGGAGAGAGAGGACAGTTAGAGCTGGGAATTGAACCCAGGGCTTCAAATATGCAAAGCATGTGCTCAGTCACTGGAAGACAGGTCCCAGACCTCTTGTTTGCATTTGAAATGTGAATTCCTTAGTCCTATTGTGCCTCTGTTATTAAATATCTGCTTATTCCCATTGAGCTGCATTTTTATGTATGTGTCTCTCTGGGAAAGCCATAAACCACCCGACATCAGTAGCCATAGAAGAAATTTCACCACAACTCCAAATTCCTTCTCCCATTTTGCAACGATCCCCATGTCTTTGGGAGCGTCCTTTCTACGTGATTTCAAAGTACTAATATCTTCAGGGTTCTGATGACTAATTCTTCCTGTTTTATAGTTAACTTCCAGGCTCATAGTTTCATGTCCACACCTTTCAGCCCACCCTGGACTCCAGATTTGTTCTGATTCTCCACCCTGAATTACTTTGTGTAACTTCGGGACATTCTCAAAAATTACAAAATCCCAAAGCATAATCTTTTGATTTACCTAAACTTAACAGCTTTTACTTTAAGTTATTCATCAATGTATTTACTTCTGGTTTGAGGGCCACACCTAGCAATGCTCATGGCTTACTCCTAACTCTGTGCTCAGGGATCACTCCTGGAAGGGCTTAGGGGATCATATGAGATGCTGGGGATCGAACCTGAGGTCAGCTGCATGCAAGCCAAGAGCCCTTCCTGCTATACTATCTCTCTGCCTCCACCTCCCTTAAAAATATTAAGCCTCATTTTTTTACTCCATTGTGCTCTCATAGAATATATTACTGACTTTGGCTAAAAAGATTTATTTTTTTGTCTTGGCTTTCCTGTGGCACGGCTCCCCAGTCCCATCCACTGTCCTCACAGGTGGTATATATTCTGAACCCCATTTACCTGTTACCTATGTAGCACTGTCCTCCCGTTGTCCGATTTGCTTGAGCGGGGCCAGTAACATCCAGCGTGTGGGCGAGATACTCTCAGTAGCTTGCTGGGCTCTCTGAGAGGGGCGGAGGAATCGAGTGGGCGAGATACTCTCAGTAGCTTGCTGGGCTCTCTTTGAGGGGCGAAGGAATCGAACCTGGCTCGGCCGGGCCAGCTGCGCACAAGGCGAACGCCCTACCGCTGTGCTATTGCTCCAGCCCTGTTTTCTATGTACACTTCTATTTCTTCCCCACCTGTAACCACAGGCAGTGATTGTAACTGATGTTGAAAGAAACAAACCTTACCTCCACTGTGTGTAACAGACATAAGTTTTGAGGTTAGGCAGGTTGTTTTGCATGGCCACTAACTTCATTTTTAAGTGGAGACATGCTCAAATCAAATTGTTGCTTCAGGTGAACAAATGCAAGTAGCCCTCTCAGGAAAGAGAAAACAAAAATTATGAAAAAAATGAGAGCCTCAAGACTTGAAATTATTAGTAAGCGGTTATTGTAGCAAATGCTTTCCAGACAACACTGTACATATTGGCAAATTTGAAGGCAAGGCATAATGATCTCAATGAAAATAGATTCAAAATAACCTATTTCGATTCTCTGAATTGCAAAGACCAGCTCTTTAGCCCACAGATCCAGTTGCTAGATACTTGTATTAAATCAGCTGCTTCTGTTGGATGAGTAACTGTGGTGGGCGAACTGTTCACTGATCTTGCCATTTTCTTTGAAGAAAAACTTGAAAGTTTTTGTTATACTCCAGTGACCTCATGTTTGTTCTTTTCTTTCAGGCATTTAGGGAAGAAATCGCACCAATCAACTTAAAAGTTAAGACCATGAATGACTTATCCAGTCAACTCTCTCCTCTTGACCTGCACCCATCTCTAAAAATGTCTCGCCAGCTGGATGACCTTAATATGCGATGGAAACTTTTGCAGGTATTTACTCATGCCTCATCAGATTTCTTTCTTTCTTTTGTTTTTAAGTTTTTATTAGTGAGTTACAGTTGTAGACTTACAAGTTTTTGTGCTTAGGTTTCAGTAACACAATGATCGAGTACCCATCCCTCCACCAGTGCCCATTCTCCACCACCAATGATTTCAGTATCCCTCCCACACCCCCCCCCCCCCATCCCACTCCACCTCTATTGCCGGGCATTCCCTTTTTTTTTTCTCTCTCTCTCCTTTTGGGTTCTGAGGTTTGCAAAAGAGGTATTGAGTGGCAATCATGTTCCGTCTATAGTTTACTTTCAGCATGCATCTCCCATCCTGGGAGGATCCTCCCAACACCCTTTACTTGGTATTCCCTTCTCTGTCTGAGCTGCCTTTTCCCCTAGCATGTGTGGCCGACCTTCAAGCCATGGAGTGAACCTCCTGGTACTAATCTCGGCCACTCTTGGGCGTTAGTCTCCTATTGTGTTACTTTATATTCCCCAGATGAATGCAGTCTTTCTATGTCTGTCCCTCTCTTTCTGACTCATTTCACTCAGTATGATACTTTCCATGTAGTACCACTTGTATATAAATTTCATGATTTCATCTTTTCTAACAGCTGCGTAGTATTATACTGTGTACATGTACCAAAGTTTCTTTAACCGGTCATCTGTTCTCAGGCACTTGGGTTTTTTTTTTTTCCAAATTTTGGCTATTGTGAACAGTGCAGCAATGAACATAGAAGTGCAAATGTCATTTCGACTATACTCTTTTGCCTCTCCGGGATATATTCCCAGGAGTAGTATTGCTGGGTCAAATGGGAGCTCAATTTCTAATTTTTTGAGAATCGTCCATATTGTTTTCCAAAACGGCTGAACCAGTCGGCATTCCCACCAGCAGTGAAGAAAGGTCCCTTTTTCACCACATCCACACCAGCACTGGTTGCTTTTGTTCTTTTGGATGTGGGCCAGTGTCTGTGGTGTGAGATGGTATCTCGTTATTGTTTTGATGATTAGTGACGTAGAACATTTTCTCATGTGCCTTTTTGCCATTCGGATTTCTTCTTTGAGAAAGTTTCTGTTCATTTCATTGCCCCATTTTTTGATGGGATTGGATGTTTTCTTCTTGTGGAGTTCAACCAGTGCTTTGTATATCCTTGATATCAACCTCTTGTCAGATGTGTATTGGGCGAATATCCTTTCCCATTCTAAAGACTGTCTTTGTATTCTGGTCACTGTTTCTTTTGAGGTGCAGAAGCTTCTTAGCTTAATATAGTCCCATTTGTCTATCTCTGTTTTCACGTGCTTATTCCTTGTTAGATTTCACATATATTCCTTGGTTGGCATTTCAACTCTATTTTCCACATTATCACTTTATTTTTAAGTTGCATTTGATGAAGAGTGTATACTAAGTGACATCATGTCATATTTGCTTCTTAGTATGTTGAACCCAAAAGCCTCCCTTTTTTATTTCATTTTTGTTTATTTTATTTTTTTGCCATAACCAGCAATGTTCAGGGATTTCTCCTGACTCTATGCTAAAGTATTACTCCTGGTAAGCTCAGGGGGACCATATGAGTGCTGGAGATAGAACCTGAGTTTGTCACATGCAAGGCAAACATCTTACCCACTGTTACCCTTTATAAAAGAATCTGTATTGAGCCTCTTTTATTTATGAGTATAGATTTTGATGTCATTTTTGATATACTAATAATAGTTGGGGCTGGAGCGATAGCACAGCGGTAGGGCGTTTGTCTTACACGCCCTACAACATGGCCGACCCGAGTTCGATTCCTCTGCCCCTCTCGGAAAGCCCGGCAAGCTACCGAGAGTATCTCGCCCACACGGCAGAGCCTGCAAGCTCTCCGTGACGTGTTTGATATGCCAGACACAGTAACAACAAAGTCTCCAATGGAGACGTTACTGGGCCCGCTCGAGCAAATCGATGATCAACAGGAGGGCCTTTACTTACTTTACTTACTAATAATAAAGTTGAAAGAAATATCAAGAGGTTACAATTAATCATCGTAATTGAAACCTATGGTAGCTATATGTACTGATTAGGAACAGTTTGGTTGTGTGTGTGTGTGTGTGTGTGTGTGTGTGTGTGTGTGTGTGTAGACTGCCTTGTCAATGCCTTTAGTAGCAGGCTGTTGCTAGCTATATGTACTGATAAGGAACAGTTTGGTTGGTTGTGTGTGTGTGTGTGTGTGTGTGTGTGTGTGTGTGTAGACTGTCTTGTCAATGCCTTTAGTAGCAGGCTGTTGCCCTGTCTGACTTGGCAGAGGTGGCTCTGCATGGCTGTTGACCTGGCTACTGCAGATCCACACAAGACCCCTTCTGTGCTGTATCCTCTCCCCACTGCAGATATGAGAGCTGCCTTACTCTTTTTTTTTGTCTAACATTTTACCATGCATGGATCGGCAGAGAGACTGCTGAAAGGCTTTCCACAGAGAGAAAACATTGAGGGAGATAACTCAATGGGTTGGAGCACTGGTGGAGTTTTTTCACCTTTGAAGATTCAAATATGCTCCATCTTCTTCCATCTATTAAAGTGTTTTGCTCATATTTTCCAGTTATAATATTTATACAATTGCAGAGTTTGCCTTGATTTCTTTGATCTTAGCTTCTCTAATGCAGTTGTATTTTCTCTGGATCTTACTTGCTAATTCTAATAAAGCCATTTAATAAAATCAAGCCCAGAAGAACCCTCCGAAATATTACTAATATCAACATTTGGAAGCTGCCATGTATGCCACTGAGTAATTTTTGGCTTATCTTTATGAGTTCTTTGTCACATTCACTGGCTAATTCCTAGGAGTATTAATCTTATTTTTTTCTTGAAAGCTAGCAAGATAATTTGAATACAAGAGTATAAAATAATTCCTAAAAATTTTTTGTATAGTTTAAGACTGAACTGTGATGATTCATAATATAAGTATGAATTCGGAGGTGTATGTGAGTTTTACTATAAGCCTTAGTTTTCCTGAATTCATCCAAATATTAAGGCAGAAAATTTCATATTTTATTCATGAAAATGAAGAGGCTAGGAATAGGACATAGTATTAGGCATTTTTTTTCCGTCTTTGAAAGTGTAAATAATCTGGGATTAGTAAGGGAGAATCTGTTCAACTCCAATAAGCTTTTCTACTAAGTGGAACATAGAGTATTTGATCTTTGCTTCTTTTTCTCCTGCTGCTTCATTTCTTTAATTCATTATCTTCCTGTGTGTCTTCCCATGTTCCATTTTGATTTGCTTCCCATTCTGTTTCCATTATCACCATCTAAAAAGATTAGATGTCAAGGACTGCATTATGCTTGAGAGGGGTTATGAGTTCCATTATCCTTATCACTGAGCCTGGTAGCCAGAGTTCAGATATTAGTTGCTGGTTAAGTAACAGTGAAGCAGAAACAAAACACAATCAGTGCTGCCTGCAACCATGTTGTGTTTCAGGAGAAGCATCTTCTTTTCTCATTCCAAATGAAAACTACTACATTTTAACACTTTTTGGATCTTAACCAACCGAGTCCCACCAGCTAATGCGTTTTAACTAGGTTGCTGGCAGAACTAGGAGCTACGACTCTGAGCCGGAGATAAACACATTTCATTAAAGGCGAGTGAGGTTGGCAGTCTAAGCAGAATCCACAGCACTGGCCAGGAAAGGAAGTGTCAGCAGACCGTGTGCAGTTATTACTGAGTAGCACCTATTTTCTCAGGGTTACCACCTTTTTAATATTTTCCAAATGGAGAGCACCAACCAAAGCCTGTATGCAATAAACATATCGAACATATTAATCTGATGGTATACAACTTGAAGGTCCAAATGAGGTGATGGTGATTAACTCTGAAGAAGAGCAAACATTATATACACGTTTGTCTTTTCACTTTCTCTCATCTACCTAAATAACTTCTGTCCTTTTATCACCTGTCTCTCTCCATCCGGGGCCAGAGCCATAGCATAGCAGATAGGAAGTTTGCCTTGCACGCAGCTGACCCAGGTTCTATTCCTCCACCCCTCTCGGAGAACCCAGCAAGTTATGGAGAGTATCCTGCCCGCAGGGCAAAACCTGGCAAACTACCTGTGATGTATTCGATATGCCAAAAACAGTAACAAGTCTCACCATGGAGATATTACTGGTGCCCACCCGAGCAAATCGATGAACAAGGGGAAGACAGTGCTATAGTGCTACGGCGCTCTCTCCATCCGCCCATCCATCCATTCATTATTCATACATCCATCTTTTCCCTAGGACTAGTCTAGATTTCTTTTTGCCCCCAAATTTTATTTTATTAAAGCACCGTGAGTTATGAAGTTTCATAGTTGGGTTTTTGACATACAATTTTCCAGTACTGATCCCACCACCAGTATCAACTTACCTCCATCAATTTCCCAAGTTCCCTCTCCTACATGCTACCTCACTAATTCCCCAGAACCTTCCCCCCCATCCCAGCATGCCTTCTTTATAGGCACCTTTTAAGCTCAGTTAATCGAACTTTGGGTCTTGTGATTTAAGTATTGTTGATTCTGTGGTTTAGATATGTAGCTCTATCATTTCTCAACACGACCAATGTACCTGAGTCCTCTTGTCCACTGCTCTCTGTGCTTCTTATGTATCTCTTCTCCCCTTCCCCATTCACTCTATTTTGTTCCCTCTCCTCCCAAAACTCTGGTCAGCCGTGTGGGCTGCATGCAAGGCAAATGCCCTACCCACTGTGCTATCGCTCTGTTACTGGACCCACTCGAGCAAATCTTGATGAACAACGGGAGGACAGTGCTAGTCCCTACCTAATAGCACAGGACGATAGCAATTATACTTAAAGTAACTGGATGAGGAAATGCAGTGGTTTAAAGGAGAGATGCTTAGGTCACCCTTGGTCCAGAGTTTAGACTTCTTTGTTATTTGCTCTCTTCAGTGCTTTTGGGCAGATTTTCTTATAAAAGAAAGATAGATGAGGAGCCACTGGCCCCAGGGCCATATCTTGACTTTCAATGCTAGACAGATTTACTGCTCCTGAGTCAGGACAGAGCTCTGAAAATGCATATTATCAACTAGATGAACTGGGCACGAATATTAGTGCTGTCACTTTCTGAATCAAGTTTTTTTTTTCCTGAATATACCCTGTAAAATACAAATAATAAATAATACGTATATTACTTAAAATCCAATTTAGTAATATCCAATATAGTTCATTGTGAGAATATAAAGTACATTCATTTAAATTGTTTAGAATGAGTGGCGCAGTTTTGTTTCTTCATGCTAAAAAGAGCCTACTTTCAGACCCATACTTCGATTGGATTGATGAGATAAAGGCTGATTATGTAGGGATCAGAGAGATAGTACAGCAGGTAAAGCACTTGCCTTGTACATAACCAGCCAGTGTTGCTTTTAATCCCTGGAACACATATGGTCTCCCAAACCCTGCCGGATTGATCTCTGAGCACAGACCACAAGTATATCCCTAGCATAGCTGGTTACCCAGAAATAAAAATAATAATAATGATAATAATAATAATAAAAGATCAGTGATGTGCATGAATCATATCTTTGGTAGTAGCATCCTTTGTTATTATACTTATATCGGGGGATTATTTTTATTTTTGTGAGTATCACACTGAGAAGTGCTGATTGGAAGTATTAGAGGCACCTCCAAATCATACTGTTGGGGGAATCACACTTATTTGCACCCAGGGCCTTGCAAATATATTTACGCTAACACTTGGACCACATCATTGCCCCAGGGTGTCATCAAATTTAATTTTGAAATTTAATGGTTTGAAATCTAATTATTTGTCATGTACATTTGTGCAGGTTTCTGTTGATGATCGCCTTAAACAGCTTCAGGAAGCCCATAGAGATTTTGGACCATCTTCTCAGCATTTTCTCTCTAGTAAGTACTAAGAAAGATGGCTGATCTCATTAACTGAATGAATCTCAGGATATTAGTTTTCACTCAACACATCTTATTATTTTCTATAAACATACTTAGAAAAAATAAAAATATATATTAATGTGAATGGCTGTGTTGCTTATTGGTGATTTGCAATGGTATACTTGCAATTTATGTTTTTAAGCATAAGCACATCTTGAGTTATTCTCTTTTACATGGAATCATCTGTCAAGATGACTAATGTCACTGCTATGTCAGGCAAAGGTTATGAACTTCACAGCAAAGAGATTAGTTTTTGTATTTTAAGATTTTCAATTAATTTTTCCACTGAAAATATGCTTATTAGTTTCAAGTGCACCTGCAGACTTTCAAGTGATTAAAGAAGACCCTCTCCCACACATTTCTTTATGTGAAAAGATTTTTTTATCTTTAGACTTATTGTCATCGTACTCTGTCTTTCTTCTGGATAAGTGTTACGGATTTATCCAAACCTCACACGTAGATTTTTATATAATATTTTCTAATTGAAATTAGTTGTTGAGTGGATTACTACTCATAGTCCCCGAATAAATTAAGTTCCTGCATTATTTGTCATCACATTGCTCAGAAAACTAAAGAATGTGTGGTTTTAGACTCCCACAGATTGAGATTAAAATATCAGTTTTGTCCTCCAAGCATTGCTGAGTGTGTCCCCCTTCCCCCCACACACACCAATACATAATTTACCAATTTGCCTTTTATCAGACATATGATCTTTGAAAGTTAATTTCTTTATTTATCATAAAACTACTATAAGGGAATTATCTCCTGATTGCCTTCAAAATTAAAACAAGTTTGGAATAGGAATGCAGTAAGCACAAATGCTTTCCAAAAAGCATTAATTCCTTTCATTTTTTTTTTCGTGGAAAACACAAACAAAAACAACGAAACAAACACTGTCTTCCCTTCGTTCATCGATTTGCTTGATAGGACCCGTAATGTCTCCATTTTGAGACTTGTTGTTACTGTGTTTGGCATATTGAATACACTCGGTAGCTTGCCGGGCTCACCGAGAGGGGCAGAGGAATAGAACCCGGCTCGGCTGGGCTGACTGCGTGTCAGGCAAACGCCCTACCGCTGTGCCCTGGAAAACACACGTAAGAAAAAAATCTTATTTCAATTTACATGAAGTTTGAAACTTAAGGCAAACTTTATTTTCTATTTATGCAAACATTTTTTGGTATCTACAACCGTAGAGAGACCACCTCTTCTATCTAAGTGCATTACATTTTTTTATTTACCTCTAATATTTTGTTGGTGATGCATTTTTGCATTTTGCCTTAGCTCAGGTTTTTCTTACCTGCATAATTTCAAACTTTTTTTAACCCATGCTTATTTTCTCTCTTAATCAAACTTTTTTAACCCATGCTTATTTTCTCTCTCTCTCTCTCTCTCTCTCTCTCTCTCTCTCTCTCTCTCTCTCTCTCATTTGATAACATATTGATGGAGTAGGTATACTGATTAACTGATTAGGTATGAATGACTGCAATTCTTTAGATTTTTTAGAATGTAATTCTATGTAATAAAATAAAATTAAGAAATTGAAAGATAATTGGGACTATTTATAGTTCTTGTAAGAATTATTACAAAGGATTATTTGTTTATTAATATGGATGAAACTCTACACCCATGCCTTGCAACCATTCTTTTTTAATGGGGGTTGGGGCCACAGCCTGCATTGCTCAGAGGTTACTCCTGGCGATGCTCAGGGATCCATATGGGTGCAGGGAACTGAACTGTGCTAGGCAAACACCCTACTGGCTTTACTATCACTCAGTCCCCTAGCAACTATTCTTTTTTTTAATTTTTATTAGTGAGATACCATGAGGTACAGCTGTAGACTTACAAATTTTTGTGCTTGGGTTTCAATTCTTTCAGGAAAAATAATCTAACCCTTTTGGAAATGAATATTGTGGAATTCATATACACTCTGTAAAGAAGCATATAGCCTTTTCTTGACCAGTATTGTTGGTCTAAGGTGGCCAACCCGAGTTCGATTCCTCCGCCCCTCTCGGAGAGCCCGGCAAGCTACGAGAGTATTCGATATGCCAGACACAGTAACAACAAAGTCTCCAATGGAGACGTTACTGGGCCTGCTCGAGCAAATCGACGATCAACGGGAGGGCCTTACCTAAGGAGGTTATAGCTATTAAAATCAAAAGTTTCCAAAATGAATGGAGAAGTGTCAACAGAATTCCAATTAGACTGATTAGTTATTATCCCTTGCAACTTAGAATCTTGTCTTTGTTATATTTCTTGGACTTCAGCCATCGTTTCAAAATCAGCCTGCTTAGTTAGGCACAAAAATAAAAAATGTCCTGTTAACCTCGTGTCAATATCTCAATGGGGCTGGCTCTAATGAAAAATTATATATAGGTATTGTTTTTCATTTTTGTCCATGTTTTCGTTTACTGGATGTAACTGAGAAGGTAATGCTTACTCCCTCTCTTCAGAGAGGGAGATTTATTGTAATTTCTTCTATCAGAAATGTCAGAGTTACTTTTGAGCTTGGCAATTTATTTACTTCTGTTTACTGACCATCATGATTTAGGTGACTTATTTTACCTTTATGTACTTATTTCCTCATCTATCAAATGACATTTCATTTGAGATGTATCATCTTTCTAGCTTCCTTTTCTCTGATAAATTTGAAAATGTTTTGTAAAGTTTAGAATGCAATTATTTGTAGGATATCATACAACTTAAAATTCAGAAAAAAATCATTTGTGACAGCTAATTATATGAAACTCTAGGTTGACTGCAAAATTTTATTTAAATTTATATGTTATTAGTTTCTTTAGCAAAACTCTAATAGTTCTGTATTCGCACGCATGATTTTCCTAAGTAAGTTTTTAAAAAATTTGTTGATTGTAGGAATAATATCACAACAATCACAACCATCCTGTTATTCGTCGATTGCCTCGAGCAGGCCCCAGTAACGTCTCCCTCGTCCTAGCCCTGAGATTTTTTTAAAAAGTGCCATATTCAAGGCTCTTTCAGAGTTAGGAGAATGAGACCCTTCATTGTTACTGGTATTTGGCATATTGGGTATACCACGGGGAGTTTGCCAGACTCTGCCGTGTGGGCCGGTTACATTTGGTAGCCTGCCAGTTTGTCCAAAGTAGAAATGAGATGATAAGATGTCACGCGCGCACTTCCGGGAGCACACGGCGGGGAGTCTCAGAGACTATAAAACTCAGCTAGAGGAATAATATATTTTATAAAAAAAAGAATAACTAGAACTGTAATCACTAATAAGTGCCACTGTAAACAAAATATAAAATCTCAGTCTTAGTAATGTCTGAGTCTAAAAGTAGGAATCTGCATTTTCTGTGCATTAAAAATAAAAGCATTTGGAAATATTCTGTGCAGATAATTGCCTTAGTTTGTTTTAATCCTTTGCCTGTGTTTATTTTCATTTTCTCTATAACTTAAGTTTCAGCTCTACTGAAATGTTATTCCTGTGAATATGAAGCATTGAAAACTCTTCATGTGCTAAATAAATTCATTCTTGAGAAACTAATTTAGAATCTAGATATAGCAGGTAAAATTCACTCTGGTTTTAGACTTAATCAAAAGTAGAGACACAGGACAGTTTCCAGATCACCATGGAGCACTTAACTGGGGTTAAACATTACTTTTTTTTCAAGATGTTTATCCACAGGGTCAGTAGGAGTTGAGTTTAGAACTTGACCTATCCTGTGTCTGTCTTTGCGTCGCATGAACCTGTGAAGTCACTCTTTGTTTGACCTAGCAGATTTCATAATTACAGGAACCCAACTTAAACTAAGAGAATTTAATTTGCTATGAAATGTATGCAGTTGTTTTACATTAGGGTGTGCGGCTCTGGGGTTAACGATGTTTCTAATAACCTCCCTTTGTTTCCCCAGCTTCAGTCCAGCTGCCCTGGCAAAGATCCATTTCACACAACAAAGTGCCCTATTACATCAAGTAAGTCGATTTTAATTCTTTATGATACAAAGAAAATAAATGTATATAATGATGACTTAAAGGCATGTGCCCCACACCGTTGAACATTGGAATCCATTCTTGTTAGCCAAAGGAAACTCTATATATTAATATTTGAAAGTAAGTCAATTAAAAAAAATCAAGGTGAGATTTGTGGTTTACAGAGTAAGTATGATAGGTGTGCTTAACTGTTTTTTTTTAAAGCATAGATTAAGTTTTTGGGGAAATTAGAAGATTTCTAAATACTTTTTGCATAAGGATGATTCTTAAATAGTACTGATATGAAGCAAGTTTTATTCTTTTCAGAAAATCCATATGGGAAGTACTCACACTCTTCTCATCTTAATATACCCAAAATAATTTAGCCATGCAAAGTTAAATATTTTCAAGTTTTGCCCGGTTTGATTTCTCCACCCCTCTCAGAGAGCCCGGCAAACTACCAAGAGTATCTTGCCTGCACAGCAAAGCCTGACAAGCTCCCTGTGACATATTCGATATGCCAAACACAGTAACAACAAAGTCTCAAAAATGGAGATGTTACTGCGCCCACTCAAGCACAATCGATAACAATGGGAGGACAGTGTTTATTTGTTCATTTGTTTCTTTGATTTATGGAAATTACAATATTCATGTAGGTGCCCTGTCACTTATTTTGTTGTTGAATTGCTAGCTTTTCCTTTCATTTAATATTTTCCTTGTCATGAAACATTTCACAGATTTGATATAGTTTACACTGGGTCTGAGGAGTATTTAATTTTGACTTGGTATAAGTGTTGCCATATGTAGGACTCAAAGATAAAAAAAACTATTTATACAACCCATTGAGATGCACATAATGTGATAAGGTGGTGAAAGTCATGTTTGCCCTTTTTAACATGGTGAATAGAGTCATAATTGTGAGATGGTTCACCAGGCTTCTCTCTCTGATTTGCCATGTGAAAATTGGGTAAAGAGTTCTAGGCTGAATTTCTTTTAGATCCTTAACTAAAGCTGCACGTGGATCCAAAAATCCATGCCAACCATAACAATCTGTTTCTTCAGTGTCTATCTTCATGGAAAACTTTTTGTGGTCAGTATTTGTGAAATAGTATTTCATTATGACATTTTTCCGTAAATCAGATTTGTATCCTCAGGGCAAATATTAAAGAAATAATTTTTCCATGAATACTTGGCACACAATAAGCAATATACTATATGTTACTTGGTCTTAAAGAAATTTAATATGGCCATAATTTGATGCACTGATTTGATCAGTCAGTGTATCATCTATAGTATAATAACCTATATAAGTTTAAGAATAAAGTAACAAGCAGTCAAATCTGTGCAAGTATAATTAGAAAGAAATTAGTGGCTGGGCAATTAAATGTATCTTTATTGAGAGAAGATGGGAATCATCTCTCTGACCCAAGTTTAAAAAGTATATTTTCAGTTTTATTTTTTCAAGTAAGTTATTAATAGTTTTTATTTTATTACTATACTAGCCTGTAAAACTCAGATGAATTTTTATCATTTGATTTTGCAATATTAATTAATCTTTGCTGAGTGAATATAGACTTTAACTAAATACTGAACTTAATGTATAGACCAGATGTGTTGCACTCTGGTTGTTAGATGTCATATGCCTGTTTACTTGAAAATGGGTAAAGGGATCATAAGCCAGGAATGCAGGCAACCTCTTTTATTTTGTTCTGTTTGGGGGCCACACCCAGGCCAGTGTTTAGAGCTTATTCTTGACTCTGTGCTCTGAGGTTACTCCTGGCAGTGCTCAACGGTCATTATGTGGTGCTGGGGATTGAACCCAGGGCAGCGGTATACAAAGCAAGTTCCCCACCCACTGTACTGTCTTTCTGGCCCTACAGGATTGAATCTTCTGGAAAAGGCTAGGGGTCTCCATAGAGGATTGGAGCCCTATCAGCTTGAATTTTAGGTTGGGAAGACATATATTTAGCACAACAGTCAAAATTCAAAATTTTTATAATGTTGGTAGGACCAGCAGGATTGTATCTTTGCTCTAGGAGTTCTTATGGAATAGGCTGGAAGAATAAAAGCTATTTTCTACGGTTAGGATATTTATAAACAGCATTCCCAAATAAATACAATATCATGATGGCCAATATTTTTAATGATAACTGTAGCATCTTCAGATATTTTTGGCCTTATTTGTAAAAACTATATTATATAGTTTTAGTTTTAATGTTACGTCTTTAGAGCTTTAAATATTTAAAATATTTTACGTGTATATAGAATAAATTCTCTTATTAGAAAACTGTTTAATCAAGTTCTTTCATTACTTGCTCTCTTGTGTAACTTGAATGTTTATTCTCTCATAAAGAAGGAACGCAAGTCTCTAAAGATAGCTTTATATAAGCCAGCAATCGTTATGAAAATTAAATTTAATTCCCAAATAAATTAATAAGCAAGTAAACGGTGAATGGAAGTTTTTAATATACACTTCTCTTTGTATTGCTGCACAATAAGTAGAAGAAATAATGTTAAAAATAAATTTGGCAATATTGTCACACAACTAGAGTTTCCTGGAACATTTAAGAATGTATTAGTTTTAGGGGCTGGAGTGATAGCACAGCGGGTAGGGCATTTGCCTTGCACATGGTCGACACAGGTTTGATTCCCAGCATCCTATGTGGTTCTCCAAATACCACCTCAGGAATTCCTGAGGGCATGAGCCAGGAGTAACCCCTGTGCATTGTTAAGGTGTGACCCGAAAAGCCTATATATACAGATATATATATATATTATATATATCTGTATATATATATTAGTTTGAATAAGATGTTTTCAATATATGAGTATATAATTTTGTATAGTTGAATGTAGGGGCTGGAGCGATAGCACAGCAGTAGGGTGTTCGCCCTGCAAGCCACCAGCCTGGCTGAGCTGGGTTCGATTCCTCCACCCCTCTTGGAGAGCTCGGCAAGCTACCAAGAGTATCTTGCCTGCACAGCAAAGCCTGGCAAGCTGCCTGTGACGTATTCGATGTGCCAAACACAGTAACAAGAAGTCTCACAATGGAGACGTTACTGGGCCCGCTCTAACATATCAATGAACAACGGGAGGACAGTGCTAGTTGAATGTCAGAATATACCAAGAAAGCTTAAAAAAAAAAGATGGGAGCACATTGTTTTTATTTTGTATTTTTACTTAAGAAATTAATTAAAACATATGTGATCTTTCGGTGTGTTTCTCTCTCTAGATAATCTTTTGTTAATATTTAAAATAGTCTGCAGTAGTTTCATAATTTCTTTCTAAAAAATAATAAACTGTACATCAGTCTAAACATCAAGTCTATATAATAGTATAAATCTCTCTATGTTAATATCTTGTTAAGTTAAAATTTGAATTATATTTTGCTGCTTTGCCGAACTGATTTACTACCCATTCTCTGCCTTATCCTAAGTCCCCCTGATGTGTAAGTATAAATCAGATTTCTTTATATATTACCTTTCCTTTATATTTTCCTTCTATTTCTTGTGCCCGTTGTGCATAATTCTGTACTGCTCTTTGCTTTCTTCTTTTCTCCTCCGGAGGGACTCTCAGCTGCCCTAATTCATCAATTGCTAGGGGAAAAAAAAAACAAAACACCTCTCAAATCTATAGTTGTTAATGAACTTTTGGAGAACTAATAGTTATTCTTCATAACATCAGATAATTCATTTGCATAAAATGTATATACTTCTTGGCAAAACTCGACATACCACTCGAGAGGAGAAAATGAACGATGAGTTCTGTGGAGGAATTGTGCACTCAGCTTAGGTCATACAGGTGGAAGATTTCTTTCCTAAATAAGAACAGAGAAAGAGCCATGGGATATACCAGCTTATCGGGAAAGTCAAAGCCAAGAAATATTGTATCCATAGCAGCAAACGGTATTAACATGAAGCAGTTTTTGTTTTTGTTTTGTGGCAACAAACCGGAGGTGCACAGGGTTTACTCCTGGCTCTGCACTTATGAATCACTCCTGGCAGGATTTTTGGGAGGAAATATGGGGTGCCAGGGATTGAACCCGAGTTGGCCATGTGCAGGGCAAATGCTTTACCTTCTGTAATATCATATTGGCCCCAACATGAATTAATTTAACTGTAAAGGTTACTTACTGTCACTGTCACTGCCCTCCCGTTGTTCATATATTTGCTTGAGGGGGTCCAGTAACATTGTGAGACTTGTTGTTACAGTGTTTGGCAGATTGAATGCATCATGAGGAGCTTGCCGGGCTTTTGCGTGTGGGCAAGATACTCTCAGTAGCCGGGCTCTCCAAGGGGGTGGAGGAATCGAACTTGGGTTGGCCATGTAGGCCGCGTGCAAGGCAAACGCCCTGCCCGCTGTGTGATCACTCCAGCCCAGAAAACTCAAATCAGAAGGAATTAAAATTGTAACAGGTATATAGACCACGATGGATAAAAAATTACAGTTGTCTCCCAAAGGCTTTCCACAGCGACCTTCATCTTAATTGGGATGAGGAATGACATCCTTTTAGATCCAGACTTCCAAGTCAGTAACTCTTGGTGTACACTTCTTTCCAGAAGTGGCGCCTGGGTTTGGGATTGCAGTGATCAAGTAATAAAAGAAATCGGTGCATAAGACAATATACTAGAAAGGTCAGTCTTTCCAAGAAATGGCCTGTGACTTTATCTTTTATTGAAAATAAATATTTAAAACTCAGTGGGACAGCTCTGCAGAGGAGGAGGTTAAGAACAAAATTGCTTTGTGAGAGAATGTAAGTGCCATGGGATCACTAAACTGCGGGGGCTTGGAGACAGCTTCAGAAAAAATGAGCAGATCTTGCTGAACCAGAAGGCAAGCAGCGAGAACCTACCCAGCTGCCATCAAAAAGGTGGCAAACCCTAACAGGTGCCTTCTATTGAAGTGTAGTTACCACCATGCCAGGTTATTGATTGTTTAAACAGAGTGGCATTGTCTTCAAAAGACATTGACTAGTTTAGAACTTAAGAAGAAATCAGGTGAGG